CTCAGGCCCGTGAATGCTGTCAGCAGACTGCGTGGACAAAGGTCACCTTGGCCAGTCCAGGGAGGCACGCTCTCCCCACATTCCTAGCAAGAACTTGCTGGACTCCTGACTCCAGGACTGAGGATTGAGAGCAAGGTCTGATTCTTCCAGATCTCACCCGGGGTTGAAGGCTACAATGCCCATTGCTTCTTCTTGAAGAATTAACTCTTGCTGCCCCCCTTCCACTCTATACTCCCACCCATCTATCCAATCACAGATATGGTCTATATAATCAGTCTCTTTCTGGGGAAAAAAAAAAATTCATTACCAGTAAGAACCCTACTCAGCAGACAAAAGGCTTCTTAAAATAACACTTATAAGTGACCAACTTTGTGGTGTGATGGATAAAGCCATCGCCTGCAATACTTGCATCTCACAGGAGTGCCTATTCATGTCCAGCTGTTCCATTTCCAATCCAGTTCCCTGGAAAAAGTAGCAAGAGATGGCCCGAGTAATTGGGCCTTAGCCACCCACATGGGAGACCCGGATGAAGCTCCTGGCTTCAGCCCCGCTTCTGCTATTGCAACCATTTTGGGAAGCGAGCCAGTGGATGAACACTTCCTTCTGCCTCTTGTTATCTCTCTGCAACTCTCGCAAAATACATAAATCCTTTTTAAAAAATAACATATGGGGCGATACTGGTGTGATACCCTAGTGGCTAAAGGCCTTGCATCTGCTGGGATCTGATATGGGTGCCAGCTCTAATCCTAGCTGCTTCACTTCCTTTCCAGCTCCCTGCCTGTGGCCTGGGAAAGCCATAGAGGATGGCCCAAAGCCTTGAGACCTCACACCTATGTGGGAGACATGGAAGAAGCTCCTGGCTCCTGGCTTCAGCTGGGCTCAGCCATGGCCACTTGGGTAGTGAACCAGCGAATGAAAGATCTCTCTAAATATCTCCTTCTCTCTGTAAATCTGACTTTCAAAATAAATAAATAAATAAATAAACATTTTAAAAAAGATTTATTTATTTTTATTACAAAGTCAAATATACAGACAGGAGGAGAGAAAGGAAGATCTTCCCTCCGATAATTCACTCCCCAAGTGAGCTCAACGGCCAGTGCTGAGCTGATCCGGAACCAGGAGCCAGAAACTTCCTTCCGGGTCTCCCACGCAGGTGCAGGGTCCCAAGGCTTTGGGCCTTCCTTGACTGCTTTCTCAGGCCACAAACAGGGAGCTGGATGGGAAGCAGAGCTGCTGGGATCAGAACCAGCGCCCATATGGGATCCTGGCGCGTTCAAGGTGAGGACTTTAGCCGCTAGGCCACACGCAGGACCCAACTTTTTTTTTTTAAATAGCACATATGAAAAGTGATTTACAAAGGGTGTAAAGTGATTTATAAGTGTGAAAGTGATTTACAAAGGGTGTAAAGTGATTTACAAGTGTAGAAGTGATTTGCAAAGGGTATAAAGTGATTTACAAAGAATGACTGTGATTTCTCTGGGATAGTGAGGTGGACTATGACCTTTAGATGCTTCCTTGGGTCCTACCCAAGGTTCACCCTCTTTTTTTGTTTGTTTTGTTAAATTTCTATTTTGAGTTTTTGAATTTTATGGTACAATTTCATATAGACTGGGATTCCCCCCCACCAAGCTCCTACCCCACCTGAGAGATTTTCCCCATGTTGCTACAGTAGTATAGTCTTTCATAAGGAGTCTGTAAGGACTTATTCCAATATCCCACCCTGGACCCTGCGCCATTCCTTCTTCCTCACAGCTCACAGAATTCGCGCCAGTCCAGCCATCCACCAATCAGATGTAACCTGGCATTCCACCTGATAATCTCACCCCCAATCTCCCAGCCCCTTCCCCAACGCCACCCACTCACCAATCATCCCCAGGCATTCACCTGCAGGCACCAATCCCCTGGGGCCTTGACCTCAATCCCTCCGAATCCCCGCCCCCCACACCTGGCAGACAAAAAAGGCCCCCAGGTGCGGTTCTTTCTCTCTTGCTCTCTCGGTTCCTCTCCCCTGCTCTTCCTCTCTCTTCTCCTTTTTACCTCCCTTCCCCCCCTTCCCCTGTTCCTGCCTCACTCGGTTCTCTCTCTCTCTCTCTCTCTCTCTCTCTCTTTCTCTCTCTCTCTCCCTCTCTCCTTCCTTGTTCTCCCCCTCCCCCTCCTCCCCCCTTTCCCCTTCCCCTATTCCTGCCCCGCTGGAATAAACTTCCTAAGATAATGTCGTTGCGTCTGGTGTTTTCAGCTCACGGTAAAGAACCAGGTTGCGGGAATTAGCTGCGCGTAAAGTATCGTAATACCCTATGACCTAGAACTAGAACTCTAACATTCTTCTAAATAACTAACAGAGTCAGAATTCCATCAGTCTGTTATTTAAGGGTTCACCCTCTTTTAACCTCATAGCCCAGGTAGCCTGGGACCTCATCCCTACCGGGTTCTTTTGACCCCCTAGCTTAGAGTTCCTCTTGTGGCCCTGTTGTTTCTCTGTAAAGAGAATTCTCGTGGATTCAGGGTGCACTCCCCTGTTATCCCTGTCACAGAGCTCTGCTTACTGTACCAGAAGTGCAGAGTGCTGAGAATCACACGTCCATAACGGTCCAGTGTTGCTAACCTGACCTCATCCCATCCCCTTGTTGGTAAGAGCACCAGAGAAGAACTGAACATTCAAGCATAGCAGTGGGAGCTGCAATTACTGGGGAAGAGAATGTGGGCGGTCTCTTTCTCCTACTGCGCAGGGAACAGGTGCTATGCCCCGTGGGGTACAGTACAAAGCCCCAGGTGAGGCGCTGTTGGTTGAGAACTAGCTTAGCCATGCCCAGCTCCAGAGGGCACAGTACACCTGCCAGGGCTTTCCTCAGCCCCACGGGCAGTGTCCAGCAGCCCAGCTAGAGGTTGCCATGGCAGTTAAATGCCTTTGGTTTCTTCATTTCCCCCACTTTTCCCATTTCTCACTCCAAAATTTCTTTTTGTTGTGTTGTTAATTTTATCTATAGTTCCTCCCTTATCTTCACGTTGAGCCTTGTCTCCTGTCCCTAGCAGTCCCGTTCTACCACTTAGAACTCCACTTTGTCGCAGTTGACCTGCCACTCGACCACTCCTTTTCTGTCTACGACATATGCAGGACTGACCAAGTTCTTTCTCAGGAAAAGTTGCCAGGGCCAGTGATTTAGCAGGTAAATCCGCAGCCTGTGGCGCTGGCATCCCATATGGGTGCTGGTTTGAGCTCCACTTCTGATCCACCTTCCTGTTAATGTGCTTGGGAAAGCAGAAAAGGATGACTCAACTCCTTGGGCCTCTGCACCCATGTGAGAGACCCGGGAGAAGCTTCTGCACCTGACTTTGGACTGTCCCAGGTCTGGCTGCTGTGGCCATTTGAGGAATGAACATGCAGATGGTAGCTCTATCTCTGTTTTTTCCCTCTCTCTGCCTTTCAAATAAATCAACTAATCTTTAAAAAAAAAAAAAAAAGTTGCCTGCTCCAATGGGAGAGCAGAGCTTCTCCAGGACCCTAGTACCCCTCGGTTCCTCTGCCACTACGCCTGGCCCCTCACCTCCTGTCCTTTCTCACATCTTGTGCGCTGTTTCTCTTATTTAATTTCATTCTAACCTCACGTCACAGAAGAAAGCTTTTTGGGCTTACACTGGCTGATTCTGGGGACACTGTCACAGTCAATGAGTTGCCATAAGACTAACCTCTCACAGAGTCCTAGCCCTCACCATTCTGAAAATCTTAATTTTCGTACCTAGAACAACCCTGTGGGACAGGTGTCAGTGGTCCCATTCAGTGTATGTGTGTAGCCCAAGGCTGTGCGTCAGACTCACCCAGCGCCACCCAGGCTGAACTGCAGCTCTGGTTCTGTGAGCCCCAGCTCTAACGCGCTGTCTTCCCCACATTGCCCCCATCCCCTCCTCCCCTGGCACCGTCACTATGAAGTGCTTGTTGGTGTTCACACAGTCTTTTTTGTTCTTGTGCACCGTGTGTGCAGCCAAGCGTTTCTGGTGTCTCCTTTGTGGGACTGGGAGCCTCCAACCAGAGACGAGGCACGCATTGCCTTGTCTCTGATCAAGCCTTGCCAAGCACAGAACCAAATCCGGCAGGCAGGCAGGCATCACGGATGTGGCTCTCTGCCACCTTCAAGTACGTGGCAGACCTCTGCAGAGTAGACGTGGGCAGAAAGGTGATAATAACCAACAGCAGGTGTCACATGTTGAGCACTTGCCAAGTGCTGGGCATTTATGCTAGCTCTTTATTTACATTACTTAATCCTTGCAACACATTGCTAATGGAGGTATTATTATTGGCAAATGAGAAAACTAATGCTCAGAGATGTGGGAGCCACGGTGCAGCCCACATCTGTCTGACTCCAAAAAGGAGTACATAAATAGCAGAACTCGACTTACATAATAAAAATATGATCACCTCTCACTCCCCGGAGGCCTGTCCTGCCCATGCCTTGTTCTCCTCTCCCTGGAAGTTAACACTCAGGGACAGGGAAGCAGGGTAGGTTGCACACCTCCCACACCAGCACACACATGTTTTCGCACATGCACACACACACACACACACACACACACACACACACTCAGGTAACTTCTGATAAGCACCACCACCCCAGATTTCCTGGCTAGGGTGGGGGCTGTAAGGGGTGGGGGTTAGCTGCCCCAGGACCCCAGTCCTCATCCCCTTCCCTGGTGCTAAATAAAAGTGAATAAATACTAAATAAATACAACGAGGATCCAGGCCCACCCTGCTTTCCCCCTCCCTCCTGTGACCAGCAGGGTGAAGGGGACAGTTTAGATAAAGGGGACTGTCTGCCAGTTTCCCCCGTGCATCTGCCCACCAGGAAACCAGGGCAGGGCCAGCCTGCGCGTTGGGCCGCGGGGAGCTGCGGGACTCACCCTGGGGTCCCTCCTCCACTGTGTCTCAGCAGGAGGCAACCGCGAAGCCCCCTTGTCCTGCTAGTTAGTTCAAGGCCCGGTGCCCAGAATGGGCAGCCGGGATGGTGAGGTTATTTTCTGCCTGCCCAGGAGCGCCGCCGGAGGATCTCCAGAATTTGTGCCCTGCGGTGCAGCCAGTCCTGGGGCGTGGGACGCGGCGCGGAAGGGGCCGGCCGGGGCACGAAGAAGCTGTATCGGAGACGCGCGTTCTGGGGGTTGCCGGCCACCAGGACCTGCAGTGTCAAGGGCTGGGCCAGCGGCCCGTGGCCCGACAGCGTCTCGGAGGCCGCGGTGGCCCCGCTGTAGCGCAAGCTGACGGCTCCGGGCAGCACCACGTCGGTAGCGGAGGGTGTCAGGGTGTATTCACCGTTGAGGGCGTAGGAGCCGTCGGAGAGCTTCAGGGCCAAGTAGATGCTCCGGGGGCTCGGGGCTCCCTGCTGCCGGACAAGGATGTGCGTGGCTCCCGCCGGGATGGTGACCACGTTGTTGTATCCGTACCTGTGTGTGGAAGGACTGGATGAGGAGCCAACATCTTCCCAATGGCTCAGCCTCCGAGAGCAGTAACCATCTGACAAGTGTGTGGATTCGAACTGCCTGCAAATGTGCGCTCTTCTCTCTGGACTCTGAGGGGCCCTTCTAAGTCCTGCCTCTTGGTGCCCTGCCAGTTTCCACTCTCTCCCTCAGAGCTCACCTCCCACCAAGTCTTCCCTGATACCCACAGTGGTCCCCAGCTTTCTGCACCCTGGGGCACACGGAGCTGCAGCCACCTCTGTCTCCCAGCTAGATGGTGGGTGGCTCTTGGGGACCAACAAACAGCAGTGGATGAGTCTGCCTGTATACACCGGGCCCCTGTGTCCAGGAGGATGGAGGGAAGAAGCAAATGAGGCAAGAACCTGAATTTCTTGAAGGAACCCGACTGCTTGCTACAGCTGGAGCCGTCACCGCCACACACCATGCACTTATCAAACTTCTTCTTGGAGCCGATGATGCGGTCACAACCGGCATGGATGCAGCGGCCCTGGACGCAGACGGAAGAACTGTCCGGAGAACAGGGGGTCCCGTCCACCACCTGAGGAGACGAGAAGGTGCAGAACAAAGGGTTTTTCCTGATTCGAGAGAGCAGTGCCTCATCAGAAGAGCTCAGTGAGGTAGGGATGTGGGTGTTGGGATGGCAAAAGTAATTGTAAAACCGCCCTTATCCAAGCACTGGCTGAGAGTCAGGAGGTGTGACGGAGACCACACAGCCGCTATTTGAGGTTTCCAGAGATGAAACTCTGAGGCTAGAAAGATGCAGACTCTGGCTAGAGGTTTCACGGATGGCCAGCCGAGCAGTTACAGAGGGAACTGCGGGCGAGGCCTGAACTTGACAGTACCATCCCCAGACGGACACAAGGGGGCGCCCAAACCGCAGGAAATCCGCAAGGCTAAGGGCGAAGGGAGCCAAGCACCTCCAGCATTTGGCTTCCTCTTTCTTCAGCCTTCAACCCACCCCCTTTACACAGGGGTCAGGGCAGGGACGTTGGTGGTCTCCAGGAGGCCTGCCCATTGAGGGACTGGCCGCGTGAGCCGAACAAGGCTCCCACGGTGAGTGTGACAGGGTCAAATGGACCTGGGATGGCAGCGCGTTCACTCAGAGGGCCACACATTGTTACCAAACGCTGCACTCAAAAGTGATAAAGAGAGGAAAAGAAACAGAGCAGGCTGGTCAGCCTCAGTGGTCAGTTATCCAGAGTTTGGAGTTTGTTTTTGCCAATGCAAGGTTTTCACGAGTCTGCATGACTCGTTCCTTCTGGCACAGCCTGGGGAACGCCAGTGAGCATGGTGGTTGGTACTGGTTGTTGCAGGGTTATTGACAGCAGGGAGCAGAGGGGCCATGAGCACATGCGCGCACAGAGGTGCCAGGGACAGCCCGCTCCTCACCCTTGGTTCCAGCACGTAGTAGTAGCCGAGTGCTTGGGTCTGGCAGGTGAGTTTGCACTGGTCCCGGGCGGCCACACCCGTGTAGCGAGGGACCCAGTCCATGGGCCCTGGGAAGTTCTTGAAGAGGTCAGTACGGTGGTTGTAAGCTGCACACTGCTCCTCACGGAAGGTCAGTGCTACCAGGAGGAGATATGGACAGTCAGGGTTCCTCTCTTCTCGCTCTGCCCACGAGCCTCTCCCTGTCCCCAGCCCTCAGGAGACAGCTAGCCACCTCCTTCACCACAAGATGTCAGGGCAAGTTCCCATGGGGTGGGGGAATGACAACCCCCAACCACAGAAGCAATCGATACCTCCTGGGTCCCATCTGCAAGGGGTGGTCCTTCTTGCTTCATCCCCTTCCCCACACATCCTGGGGGGTTTTCATCTTTCCCAGGCCCCAGCAAGACTCACCTGAGCCGGTCGGGCAATTTTCAGTGTTGCAGGAGCGGAAGCGGGTACGGCGGCCCTCACAGTACTTGCCACCATTCTTTGGCACAGGCCTTGTACAGTCCCGGGAAGAGAACTGGACGCCACCCCCGCAGCTCCGAGAACAGTCACCCCACGGTCCCCAGGGGCCCCAGCCACCAGCCTGTGGAATCTGTGGTGGCACAGAAGGGAAAGGGGAGGGTGGTAAGGGCACTACGACCTGGACTTAGGACCAGTGCCCCCACGCCCTTGACCCCAGTCTCCTGCCCTGGGCTCTCACATTGAATTCCTGGAGCTGGTCCACATGGAGGCAGCGGCCCCCCATGCAGGCCTGCGCGGGTCCGCAAGGGGTGCCATCGGCCCAGGGTGAGTGTTTGGTCTGGCACATGGCATGGCCGTTGAGGTGGCCAGAGCACCAGAGGGCGGCACAGGGTGGTGGCAGCTGTGGACAATGGTGTGAGTCGGGCCCGAAGGTCAGCTGGCACTGGCGGTCGGCGTCATAGTCCTTGCCAGGGAAAGTCACCGGCAGATGCAGGGGAGCCTCCGGCTTGTCTAGGAGACAGTGTCCTACGAAGGGGGTTGGGCACTGAGTCAGCAAGGGCTTGAGAAGGACAGTTAGCACTACCAGCTGAATGCCCAGAGCTCCTGGGGGGCCGGCTTGCTGTCTCCTGGGGGCTGGCAGAGGCTTTCTGCAGCAGCTTCAATCTCTGGGCTGCTGAGTGTGGCTAAATGCTTGGCCAGCATCGTAGCAAACATTCCCACTGTTGTACGCACTGTACACACCTGCTACCACTCCAGCACGCTCACACCTCTGCATGCATCTGGAGAACACAGGACAAAGCGCCTTCCCCTCCTCTTCTCTCATCACAGCTTGTCAAAGCTGTGCCCAGTGGCAGCCAGCCTGCTCTTCTTGCATACTTCATTGACTGACAAAGCCTCCTCACTCCCTTGCCAGCTGGCCCGTGCAAGTGTTACACAGTGCTGGCCCTTAGAAGGGCAGATCTAATTCCATGGAGCCAATGCTCTCCTCCCTGAGCTGTGCTAGCTCATCGTGGAGGAGGCGGGAGCCCTGTAGAGACAGCAGCCTTGTTCACCCCACCCCACACTTGTGGCTAGCAGCTGTGAGAGTTGGGGGAGGGTAGGGGGCGGGGGGGCAGGGACAGGTGCTCACCGTAGCCATTGTCCAGGAAGTTGGTGATGAAGTGGGCACTGCAGGGGGACCAGGGCTCCTCAGGATCTACGTGTGCCATCACGGGTGCCATGACATGGCGGGAGGTACTACTGTGCCCATTCAGATCGGTGCACTGCTTGGAGTTGTCGTGTAACATGTTGAAGACATGGCCTGCGACAAGACAGAGGCTCTGCTAGTCCCCCGTGGGTCCCCTCTCTGTGCTTTAAGGGGCTCCCACTGTCAACTGGGTGGCAGCTGTAGATCCATTTCCTGCCCCCCCTCCCATCCCCTGCTGGCACTCCTGGGCTCCTTAGTACGGGACCATGTCTGCTCTGTCCTCCCTCTCTCAAAGGGTAGCCCCCCCACCCCGCCCCGTAGCCAATACTCTCAACCCTGAAGCCACTCATTCCTCCACTGACTTCACTGCACACACAGAGCCACAGGTCTTTGTCATTTCATAGGAAAAGCTCAACATCTAAATGTTTCTTTATAACCAAAGCAGAGAAGGATAAATGACCCTGGACCCAGGTCTGGGAAGGGGAAGAAACCCCTTGGGACTCCCTTGGGACTCCTCACTCCCCCTGTACCCTGTTCCCTAATCTTGTTTTCATGCAAGCCCCAAGCACCCCATCCTCCACCTTACCCAGCTCATGAGCCGCTGTGAAGGCTGACTGGAGTCCATCATCCTCCACCACAGCACAGCTCCGAGCAGGGTCACACACGGTGCCAACATCAGCCATGCCCAGAGTGTCGCAAGTGGAGACCCCGCACAGGTCCTGCAGGTAGGTCACAAGAGGCATGTGAGAAGTCAGGACAACAGGCTAAACTGGGCCAACACCCCAGATGAGTGGGTACCCGGGCACTCAGTACCAGCCCCACATAGGCTGGGGCCAGGAGCTGGGCTGTCCAGTTCTGGGGCATCCCATCCCCACGTGCTGGAGCAGGGCAGGGCGTGGCCTGGGCCTGTAGCAGTACCAGACAATGGGCCCTTACCTGCCGGGTAAACAGGATGGCCGTGTCAAAGTGGTCCGGGTCCGAGTCGTTAGGGGTGTTGAGGCCCCGCTGCCAAGCACAGAAGCTGCGTAGGGTCTGGGCAGCACTGGGCCCAACCTGGGGCCCCTCCTCGCCTGACCCCAGAATCACCAGTCGGGTCACCACCAGGTTGACGGGGTTACGGATGCTTGGGTGCTTGAAGGCCTTGGCCGCCGCTGCCATGACCGTCAGCAGGTAGCGCTTCAGCCCCGCGCCGTGAAACGCAGCCATCTTGTCGTCGGCTACCACCAGGGTCTCCACGAATCTACTCAGCGACGCGAAGCGCTGGAGAGGAACAGGATCCTGAAATAGCCTGCCAGACCCCACAGAGTCGCTTCTCCCCTCCCTCGCTTCCTGGGTCTGGAACTCTGCTGAGCTGGCCAAGGCTCCACACCCCCCTCCCCCCACACCCATGGGATTCCTCACTCACGGGTCTGGCTCGAGACCTCCCCCAACCCCCACCCCCAGTCCCAAATCCCAGGGCTTTTGCGTTAACTCTTAGGAATCAGCTGTCAGTTCTGAGAAGGGGAAGGGTGGGGTATGCCACGTCCCAGGGCCGTGTGGGCCCCCGGGAGGTGGAAAGCAGCTGTGACTGCTGGCCTCCTCCCCGGGGAGGGGCTTTGGGGTCTCCCAGGCCCAAGTGTGGCTGGGGCCTGCAGGCCGGGGGCTGGAGGGCTGGGCTGCAACGTGTCTACCCTGTGTGGTGGGAGGAACGATTCAGTCAGCAGCCAGGGCCCGGGCCAGGGCCAGATCATAGCGTGGCGGGTGTGGAAGCAATGTCTGGTCTGGATTAAAGCGCGAGGGAGAGAGGGAGGAGGGGAGTGGGAGGGAGGAAAGGATGGAACCTTAGTTGGCCGGGCTGTTGGTCCGAAGTGTGGCAAGGGAACTGACCAGAAGGAAGGATGCGGCGCCTTGCCTGCCCTGCCCACTCCTGTCCCCGTTTGCCAGGACCATGTTAAAGGCAGCACCAGCAGCCTGAGTCCCACCCCTCGGACATCAGTCATCACTGCTTTAGCCGGAGGCAGGGGTGAAAATTATTGGGCAGAGAACCAAGTCAAGGCCAAAGCCAAGCCCAGCGGCAGTTAGGAGAGCTTCATTGTGGAGGTCCATGCCAGAAGGGGAAGCCAGGGCCAGGCCGGGGCACGGGAGGGTGGGGGAATGGTTAGTCTGACCCACTTTGGAGGACCCTCGGAGAAGATCCGTGGCCCTGTTCGTACAGGGCTGGGGCAGGGCAAGAACAGAGCCCTCCCCAAGAACGGAGGGCAGCGGAGAGAGATAGGCAGGCAGAAAGAAGGGATGGACATGGAATGAGCAGAAGTGGAAGTGGGTGGAGAGAGGGTGGATGGGGGTCAGTAGGACAGACGTGGTGGGAGAACGCAGCAGGACACGGGGCTCTGGGGCTGCCTACCTTGGCTCTTCGGGGGCCGGGACCAGGGTTCCCGGGAGGGGCCTTGACGTTGCACATGGGCCCCTGGCCACTGGCAGGACTCTTCCGGCGTAGGATGTGAGCTCCAGGTCCCCCAGCAGAGTTAAGCGAGCCCCCTTCCAGAGGCTCCAGGTGAAGTTCAACCCCTCGATACTGCAACACTCCCAGCAGGGCTCCCCCATCCCAGTGAAGAGAGGCCACCGATTCTGGATCACCGTTGATAGTGCCGGTCAGGTAGGTGCCTGGCTCCGCCCCGCCCAGCAGCTCGGGCGACCGGCCCAAGTATTGCACTGTCAGCCCCTCGACCTGCACGCCGGGATCCTGTTCCAGCTCTAGCAGCAGCGTCTCCCCAAAGGCCGGCAAGCGGTATAAGAGCCTGGCAGAGGCACCCGGGCCAGGAGGGACGCTGCCGTTGAGCTTCTCTGGAAACACGATCTCCTCTTCCCGGGGGAGGAGGCTGGCTGGCCAGGCTGAGGGCAGGAAGGAGGCTAGTAGTAGCGGCAGCAGCGGCAGCGGCCACACCAGTCTGGAGCGGCGGGGCCCGGCAGGGATCGGCGGGCGGGGCTGGACTCCCCACAGCCAGGGCCCCGCCAAGCTCCTCCCGGGATGCAAGCCCGCTCGGGACATGGTACTGGTGCTGCAGCTGAGAGGGACTGAGGCCGGCCGTCTGGGGGCACCAAGTCCTCCACAAGCCTGGGCTCTGCAAAGCTTCTCTCTGCAGCCCCCGGAGGCTAGGCTCCGAAGCAAGAGTTTTCAAAGGGGCTGGAGGACCTTCAGAAGAAGTGGAAAGAATGTATCCCTTAGGCTTAGGGAAGGTGCCCCGGGGGTCTGCTCCTCCGGGTCTCTCTGATCCTGTGCTCCCCTCTCCTGGATCTTTGTCTCCCTGCCCGTGTCTTCTGCAGCTTCTCTGGTCTCTCGCTCTCTATGACTCTGTCTGGCCCTGCCTCCCCGCGCCGTGCCTTTGTCTTGGCCTCTCCGTCCTGTCTGTCCCGTGTCTGTGAGTCTATGGGTCTCCCCCTTGGGCTGTCCCCAGCCTGTCCAGCTCTTTTAAGCCTCCAGAGCTTCTGCGATTGGCTGCTCTGTAAGCCACTCAGTCGGGAGCTCTGGCGGTGGGACGCACATGCATGTATCATTGCTTCCCCAAATCCCTAGTTTTTGTTTTGCTTACAAAAAAAAAAAAAAAAAAAAAAGTGGGACTTGCCCAGAGGAAGGGAATCTCTTAGCAACCGGATGGCTTATGGGCACCGGGCCAGCTGATGACATCGCCTCTTCCCAAATCCCACCATCAACTCAGCTGCCTCTTCCCCTTTCTGGTGCACCAGAGCCCCCAGGGGAGGAGGACGTTGGGGGAGGAGGGTAAGGAGTCAGGGCAAAGGGCCTGGCCAACGGGGCAGAGAGAGTCACAGAGTCACGGTCCTGGGAGAATTCCCGCTCCTACTGTCTGACCCCAGTAACCCTTGCCCCCTTTCTCAAGCCTCCTTCCCCCAGCTTCCTGCTTTCCAGGGTGAAGGTGAGGGAAAGATGGCAGGAGACAGGTGAGGACCTTTCTAAAAGAAAACACAAGAGCCAGTGATGGGACGGTTACTGCCCAAAGGCAGGTAGGGTGAGACTTCTTGGAAAGGACCAGGCGGATGGCCAGCAGGAGGGGCTAACAACTTTCCTTGGCATAGAAAGAGGATTCATGGCGGCACCTCCTAATGATTAGGTGTCTTTGTGGGACTCCCCCTTCCTGAGTTGCCAGCAGCCAGCAGCAGCTAGGCAGCCCCCATTGCCCCTCAGGGCTTCTCCTCCACACTTGCTGATCCCCCTCTAGTTCCTTCCCCCAGTGTCTCTGCCCCTGCTCCTACCCACTCCCAACTGCCCTCACCCTGCCCCCAGCCCCGAGCCCTGGCAAGGCTAGCTCTCTCAGGAAGCCAGGTTGGCACAAGGAGGGAATCCCCACCTGGCTTCCTCCTCCAGTGTCATTTCGCCCTGAGAACACAATGGTTCCGGTTCCAGGACTAGCTAAGGGATCTTTTATTTCTCATTGCCCGCCGGGCAGGGAGAGAGTTGGAGGCAGCCACCGCTGTGGGTTAAGGGGAAATGAGGGTTAGAAGAAGAAACAGGAATCTGGCACCTGGGGCAGGGGACAGTGGCCAGGGAGGAAGAGGCAGCGCTGGAGGGAATAAGTACAGGATTCTTGGGGCTTGGACTTGGATGGGGATTTAGGAAAGAGGTCTTGGGGAATGGACCCTCCAGGTAAGGAAGTAAAGAGGGCTTCAGGAGTGGGGGCACTCTCTGCCCATCGCACCCCATGGCCACTCCTTTCCCCAGGAAATCCCCAGGAAGGAGAGCGTGATCAGTCATCTCCTCCCTTTCCCAGGATGGGCCCCCTCCCCGCCACCTCTGGCTCCCCTGCCCTATTCATTGCCTGGTCACCTCCTGTCCCCCATATCCACCACAATACTTCCTCCCCCACTCCCTTCCTGCCCAGGTCACTAGTATCTGCCCCATGCCCATCACTTCCCCCGCTACCCACTGCCTTGTGCCTGCCAGACTGGTCTCTTGTCCCACTACATGCTCTGACTGTTCCTAAACAGAAAAGGCCGGGGAGGGTTCTAGGGAGCGGGAGGTGGTGGAGGAGGCTCAGACAAGGGAACAAGGTCCACAAGACCACAAGGGACAGGGGCAAGAGGAGCTGTCACCAGAGGACTCTTACTGCCCCATCCCACCCCCCCATCGGAGATGAGGACAAAGGGGATGACTTAGCAGCCAGAGACAAAGGGCTTCAGAGTCACAACAGCAGTGTGTGTGTGGGTGTCGGCAGCAGGGAGCGGGCACAAAGCAGTCAGTGTCCTGGGCAGCCCCCCAGGAACCCTCACCCAAGTCCTGGCTCGAGCTGCCCCAGGGCCAAGCAGTCCAACACCTATCCTGACTTTTCCCAGGCTGGGATTAAGGCAAAATAAATGCAGCTCCCTCATTTCCCCCCATCACCACATCGGCTGTTGAAACTGCAGAGGGAAAGAAGGCCCTGGGAAAGGGGATGAGGCAGGCCAGGGGACCAAGCTCTGCCTGGGCCTCTACAGGGGCTCCAACATCTGCCCCCAGGGGGCATGGTCAGTTCCCACAGCCAGGGATCTGGCCCCACCCTTTGGTCCGGTTCCCATTAGGTCAGTTCCCAGGCTAGAAGTCTGGCTTTGCCTTCTCTACAGTTAAGGATTCTGTCTCCTCCACTCCCCTGGTCTGTCTGCCCCACCCAGCTGCGCTGCTGGTGGGCTGCGTCCCAGGGACCCTGCCTAGGGGAAGTCTGGGGCAGGCCTCTTTGCAGACTCAGGGTGGAGGCCTGGTACACGGGTGGGTGGCCCAGCTGGAGCTGGCTTAGAGTGGGGGGAAGCCAGGAACCTGCCCTCCAGGCTGAAAACCCTTTGTGCAGAGCTGGGATGAAATGCTTGGTCCTACTACATGTCTGTCCTGCTGTCCACTCCAGGGAAGGGCTGTGGCAGAGTCAGAATGATCCAGGATGGAAATAGGACGGGAGCCCTCTTTAAGGATGCCTCCAGGATCTGTAGGTTCAGGATAGCGGGAGGGAGTGGGGGTTATCAGGGTCAGTCAGAGGACCTCAGCTCTCCCATCTGGCAGGAGGTGGCTCCAATATTCCCAGGCACCCCTCCCCCTCCAGGAATGCTGGTGGCCTTGGCGTCTACTCTTTTTTTGTTTGGGCTTGGCAGCAGCTCTCAGACCCGCCCAGCCCCACTTGGGCCCCATTTCCCTATCCCGATTCAGGACATCTGGAAAATTAGCTGGCTTTCCCGGCTCCAAGTCTTTGGGATTCTGCGATGGCGAGGTAATTGGCAAAGTCTGGGGCTATCCCAGAAGGGCAGGGCTCAGACATAATTGGAAAGCAAGACTACAGCAGGAGGGTGGCCAAAGCGGAAGACAGCAGGCAAGGAACCCCGTGCGAGTGCACGCCACGACGGGGAGCGAGGGCGCTTTCCAAGACGTCCGAGGCGCCTTGACGAGAGCGCGCAAGTAGCCAAGTTTCGCTCGCTCCCGCCTAGAAGAGCCAGCTGGGAGTAGTAACCCGGAAAATGCCCTCAGTAAAGATGACAGCAATCACTGTTGTTTAAGCCTTAGTGAAGCCGACGCATAGAACCCGGATGTTGCCAGTTCGCTATAGACGATCCTGCCAGTTTCCAAGAAGGCCGATATTCGTTGTGTCAATAGGAGAGAAGCCCATAAGGAGGCGCGCGGGAGTCACTTCCGCCCGGTTCTCCTCTCAGGCTGCAGCCCGAGTAAGATGGCGGCGCTGAGGGCGCTGTGCAGCCTGCGAGGCGCCGCGGTCCAGGCGCTGCGTCCTGGAACTGGCGTCCGACTACAGATTCAGCCCAGCAGGTGAGACCAAGCGCATCCCCAGGACTAAGTGTTTTCCACTCTCGGGACTTTCTCGCGGACCTTGTTGACCTCCTAGAAAAGAATGACCCAGGCCTGTGACTCCTCCCTCGCTCATGCCCGATTTTCGGCCCCAAGCTGCGGTTGCGTCCACTCCAGCCATCAGCGAAGGGGGGTCTTGATGTGTTTCTGCCAGGAGTGCAGTTAGTGCAAAGTGGGAGTCGGCCGCTCGCCCTGAGAGACTCGGGTGCCCTCTCCTGTCACACCTGAGCAGAACTCTGCAGAAGTGCAGATGCCCTTCCCTTGGGAGGTTAGCATTGACCTTGAGCAAACGGCTCTGGCCTGTGATGGAAGCAGGAAGGACTTGCAGGGTGATGCGTGCAGTGATCGCAGGAACGCGTTGTTAGCGGCAGTAAAGCTGCTGTGGAGTTGAGCCGTTACTCGAGCTCTGTGTCAGGGACTTGCATTGATGGGACAGTTTTCCTGGGGCCTCCTAGGAATGAATGGGAACCGGGGAAGGAGGTGCTGCACAATGTCCTAACTAGGATCGTCCTTTAACTCTCCAGAGGTGCTCGGCAGTGGCAGCCAGATGTGGAGTGGGCAGAGCAGTTTGGGGGTGCTGTTATGTTCCCCACCAAGGACACAGCCCACTGGAAGCCTCCACCTTGGAATGGTGAGTGCCCAGACTGCGGTTTCAAACTATACCTGTCCCCACTCCAGACAGCTTCGTGATTGGCTTCTGAGCCCTCCGTTGTGGGAAGGTTTTTGCTCCTTCCTTCTTTGGCCCTTCGACCACACAGTGCAGCAAGCCTAATGGTAGTGATAATATAGCTAGAAAAGGAACAGAAGGGCATTCCAGAAAAAAAAAGATGTTGACTGCAGCCAGCAATCCAGGGGTTCCCATCAAAATTACATCTTTTAAAAAAATTATTTATTTGGGCCCGGTGTAATAGTGTAGCGGCTAAGTCGTAGCTTCGAATGCACCGGGATCCCATATGGGCACCGGTTCTAATCCTAGCAGCTCCACTTCCCATTCAGCTCCCTGCTTGTGGCCTGGGAAAACAGTCGAGGACGGCCCAAAGCTTTGGGACCCTGCATCCAGCGTGGGAGACCCGGAAGAGGCTCCTGACTTCGGATTGGCTCAGCTTCAGCCGTTGTGGCTGTTTGGGGAGTGAACCATCGGATGGAAGATCTTCCTCTCTGTTTCTCCTCCTCTCTGTAAATCTGCCTTTCCAATAAAAATAAATAAATCTTTAAAA